TCAGTACTTGGCTCGCATTCTCATGTCCCATCCATCTCTCCGGTCTCTGAACCGCCTCTTAATTGACCTTCTGTTTTTGTTTGTTTCTCTTCCACTTTGTAGGTTTTGTTGACGTAGAAACCCCAACATTGTTTAGAAAAACACCAGGGGTAAGTACAGTGTGATTCCGTGAAATAGGCATGAACTAAATATACTTATTATTGCAGGTTAGCCAGACTTTTGATCTTCCCAACCCCGAGGCTCGTCTAATGCGTCTTTTCCCGCTGCTCTTAGGGAGCCAAAGAGTTTGTGGTTCCGTCCAGAGACCCGGGTCGTTTCTATTCCCTCCCTCAGAGTCCTCAGCAGTTCAAGCAGCTTCTAATGGTGGCTGGGATTGACAGGTGGGACATTGCAGTCGCTCCTCTCGAAGCTTAGCGGTGGGAGGGATGGTTTTTCCATGACCCACTTCCGGCATTGGGTTAAATAATGAGTAAAAAAAAAAGGCACTTAAATTAGGAGGAAAATAAATCAATCAATATTTGGTGTAATAGTTGCTCTTGTACACGTCAAGTAAAATGTGCACGGTGACTGACACAGGTACTTCCAGATAGCTCGGTGCTATCGAGATGAAGGCTCCAAACCGGATCGGCAGCCCGAGTTCACCCAGGTAACGATGTCTCGCCTTCTCGACACGTCTCCAGAAGAGTCATTTCCATTGCTGGAAATGTATTTGATTTTATTTTATTTTTTTTCCCCTCCGCCTCATTGCAAATGTGACTCTACAGGTCGACATCGAAATGTCTTTTGTGGACCAGGCGGGCATCATGTCCCTGGTGGAAGGTTTGTTGGAATACTCGTGGCCTGCAGAGAAAGGCCCGCTCCCGCTTCCTTTCCCATGCGTGACGTATGAAGAGGCCATGAGGGACTATGGGGTGGACAAACCTGATACCAGATTTGGCATGAAGGTGCACTACTTCTGTCTCCTGGATGACATCTGTGAACACAAATCCTGAATCTTCAAGTGGGCTTTGTCGTGGCCTTCAGACGAAATTTCTTGTTCATCTGCGACTTTTTTAAGCTTGCATTTCGGAAGTCACTTTTTATTTTTTAGTTGACTATGGCGCTTGAAATGAACATTTTCTCCCTTTCTTGCGTGATTCTCAATCGACATTTGCAAGATCATTTCCATGAAAATTGGAACCCAAATGCTGTTTGTCTACCGAGTTACGGAAATCCATTTTTGAACAGTCACCGTAGGTTATTCACAGCGCTCCTCATACCGTAATTCACTGTTTTTTTTGTTTGTTTTTAACTTATCAATCAATGCCCACAAGAAGCTGGTTTTGTCAAATGAGATTCCCCAACTTTTTGCCACCATGTTCCTCCCGCATGGTTAACGTTGACTCTCTGCCGTTCCTTCGCATTCAGCTGACGGACCTCCGAGACGTTTTCCTGTCCACCGATATCGGTTTCTTCAAATCGGCTGTCAGCAAAGCGGGAAGCTCTGTTTTGGCCATCTGTGTGCCCAGGGGAGCAGTAAGAGCAAACTTTTTTCTTTTGGGAGAACAGGATCACTTCCTTTTCTTGTTAGCTTGACAATTTTACAACTTATTTTCAGCAACTATTCACGGGGAAAGATTTAGAAGAACTGAAACAAACATCCAAGACTCATTTTAACCAGGTAAGAGGATGATTGGCGGTTGCCTGTGATTAGTATTTTTATTATTGCCATTAGTAGTCGTATTATTTTTGTGTGTGTGTGTGTGTGTGTGTTCAAATGAGTACAGTTAAATAAATAAAGTA